GAACACAGACACAAGCTTGACTCCAGGGCAAAAGCAGGTATCCTTGTGGGATATGCTTCTGGAGGCAAAGGATACAGAATTATGGACTTACAAACTGGTAAGACAAATGCATACCATGCGGTTTATGTTGATGAATATGGAAAAGTAGACACTAAGAACACTGTTGTGGATTCTTCAGATGAGTCAGAAAGGACTCAAGAGTTTGTATATTTCCCTTTTGAGACCCCACAAAGTACTAATCTACCTTCAAGTGTTACAGCGCCCCCTACAGGCGACGCACCAGAAGACACAGAGGACCAGAACCCTGGCGGCACCAGAGACGAAGATGAGGACTCAGATGGGGACATGCCTGCATTGGAGGAGGATGAGGAAGCTGATGCGGTCGCAGAACCAAAGGTCAGGCGCTCATCCAGAACCAACAAAGGTGTCCCACCATTACGGCTGTCCTACTTTGCAGAGTCAGCGTTTCCGCAGGAACCTTCCACTTGGGAAGAGATACAGGAGATGCCAGCTGCAGAAGCCAGTCTCTGGAGGAAGGCCGCGCAGGAGGAGATGGATGCACTGCATCAGAACAAGACCTGGACACTCACTGAGCTGCCTCCCGGTAAGAAGGCCATTGGCAGTAAATGGGTTTTCAAGGTTAAGAAGGGGTCAGAAGGAGAAGTGCAGCGCTACAAAGCTAGACTTGTAGCACAGGGATTTTCACAGCATTTTGGTGAAGACTATGATGAAGTTTTTGCACCAACTGTGAGGTACAGCAGCGTAAGAATGCTTTTAAGCATTGCAGCCTCCAAGAAAATGAGAGTAAAACACATAGACATTGCTACCGCTTTTCTGCATGGGCAGATTTCTGAGGAAATTTATATGAAACAGCCTAAAGGTTTTGTAAAACCACATGAAGCACATTTAGTGTGCAAACTCCAGAAAGGACTTTATGGACTTAAACAGGCTGCCAGAGCCTGGAACCAGAAGTTGCATAAAATGCTGATGCAACTTGGGTACAAGCAAGGCGACGCTGACAAATGCTTGTACAGTAAGTCAAATAATGGACAATTCTCATATATTTTAGCTTTTGTTGATGACCTGATTATTGCCACAGCAAGTGAGAGAGACTATACACAGATAGTAAAACACCTTAGCAAAGAGGTGGAGGTCAAGGAGCTAGGAGATGTCCAGTACTACCTCGGGATCCAGGTGGAAAGAGAAGAGGATGGCTCATTTCTTCTCAGCCAAAGACAGAAGATCCACGAGCTAGTTGAGCACATGCAGATGCAAGACGCACATCCAGTTGCTACACCGTTGGCTACTGACTTCCTGAAGAATCAGCAGGATTCGAAGCAGTTGCCAGACAACAATGACTACAGGTTGGCGATTGGTAAACTTTTGTATTTAGTTACCACATGTAGACCTGACTTAGCTAATGCTGTGGGGATTCTTAGCAGAAAGGTGAATTCTCCCACTGAGCATGATTGGGCAGGTGTAAAGAGGGTGGTGCGATATTTGAAGGGTACCATGAATTGTAAATTAAGGTTACCAGCCGTCAGAGACCCTAAGTTGGCTGGGTATACTGACGCGGATTGGGCTGGGGATAATGCTGATTATAAATCAACAAGTGGTCATGTTTTCATGTTTGGGGATGGACCTGTTGCATGGGGCAGTTATAAACAGAGCTGTGTAGCATTATCTTCCACAGAATCAGAATACGTTGCAGCAACAGAAGCCTGCAGAGAGATCGCCTGGCTTGATCAACTCATGAAGGACTTTGGGTTGGTGAGAAAAGGGCCTGTCAGCTTGCTAGAGGACAATCAAAGTTGCCTGAAGCTGACGCAGAGTGAGAAGTTCCTGGCCAGAACAAAACACATTGGGGTTAAATACCACTACATACGCCAGATGATCCAGGATGGACTTGTGGAGCTATCCTACTGCAGCACCCGAGAGATGACTGCTGACATCCTGACGAAACCCCTTCCAAGAGAGAGTTTCCAGAATCTACGTGTCAAGCTGGGACTCTGGGTGGTTGAATAAAGTTGTTTATGTTTTGTATATGTTGTATTGCCTGAGAAGGGGTATGTGGGATGTAAACACAGGAGCAGTCAATGACAACATTCCTAGAGTGTACATGTTAGAACATGGGGAGGGATGTCTGTCCAGCAAGCAGGTAAACTTCCTGGGGACGGACTTCCTCCGCATGTGACCAGAGGTGGGTGTGGCCTCACCTGTGCAGGTAATGACAAAAAGCACAGGGCAGGCAGCCATCACTCTCTCTCTGCCATTTTCCTTCGATGAGGAAGCATCTAAAGATGCTCTCTTGGCTCTCAGCCAAGAGAGGAGGAAAGGACTATCTTGCTATAAGATAGATTCTGAATGTATATAACCTTTTTAAGCTGTCTGCCTTCTGGGATCATATTGTGAGCAGAACGTGAGTAAACTCTTTTATACTTTTATAAAAACTGTGTTGTGTCTTGTATTTTAAGAGGGAACAAAGGGGAAATTGCCAGAGTAATTATTATAGAGGTTCTAGCGAACCTGTGCACACGTTACCGTTGCGAACTTAAAGGGGAATGTCTATAAACTCTGCTGATATTTTGGGAACTTGTTAGCACAAGTTGGATAAGGATATAATTAGTCAATATATCCTCTCCTGCACCCCAGAACATTCCCACAGAAATGACTGCTGGGCATAGAGGAATCACGACCTAGACAGGTTTGTTTTCAGGGTTGTCCTTTCCAGCGGCAGCTTTATGGGCTCCACCCCTGAGGTGTGGTGGGTGTTGTTGCAGGTATACAGTCTTATTGTGAGTCGGATAAAGATCTCAGGCAGGCCTAACATGGCACACAAGGGGGAGGTTCTCACACCTGCCATAAGGCATGCATACAAAGTTGTGCCTTGTGGATGTGCATGTTATGACTGTGCTGATACACATTAATGAAAATCACACATCCATCTCAGCAAAAATGTCAGTGTTAAGATATCCCTTTTGGTTTCCTCACTTCAAATATTTTCTGTTGAGCTCTCTTTCAAGGAGACAGCTGCACAGGGGCACTGAAGCCTCTTGAGCTGCATGGGTTTAAAAATATAGCCAGCAGTGTAGACACATGGACAGACAGACTTCACACAGCTTCTGATCACGACAAACATTTGCTATTTACTGCCCCCCCACTCTCTCCTCGGGCACAGAATCAAGCTTTAAAAATCTTTACAAGCAAATAAGCATTGCGGTGTGGGCTGGGAATTGCTTCTCTGTGGTCTGTTTTATTCCCGTTCACTCTTCCAGAAAGGGAACAGCCAACATTGCACCCAATTTCTTTTTGTGGCTCATTGCACCAGGGGCCAAGAACTCCTGAAAATTATTGGGGGTAGGGAATACATCTAGCCTCTGCATTTTTAATTGCTTGGGGTTGTAAAGTCATTCTTTGGAAAATATTTTGCTACCATTCTCTTACGAGTTCCACTATTGCAGAGCATTCAGTTACAAGAGACCGTTTATTAATCACTTATTTTCATATTGACTTTTTAATTGGCTTTTTAAAGGGGAAAAAAGTGTTTTGCTCCAATATACTAAAGCTACATTTCTCATAGGTAAACTTATAAAATTGGATTTTGTGTTCTTGTGTTTAGGGTAGGAAGGAGAAATGAACCCAAGCCACAGTTTTCTCTTGTAGCAAAACTTTGGGTTTTAAAAATTAAAATTGGTTTATTTATATAGCACAGTTAATAGCTTGGAAACTGGATCTATCCAGTCTCTTCACAACCCATTCTGCCTCATTCACACATCACTAGAATGGCTTGAAAGAATAAACAAAATATATTGAAGCCCTACTGCTAAAGGGAAAAAAGATTCTTACAGTTTTTTCATATTTTGGATTCTAAGTCTACATGGTGAGAGCTGGTTCCATGGCTGCCTCCTAGAGGGGAGACAGAAGAAAGAGGAAGTAGAAGGTGTGGAGCTTGCGGGGGTCCTGGGAAACCATGAAGTCCTGCCCCCCACCTGTTAGTCTCAACTCTGCCCTTTTACTGACGGGAAGCAGACAAAGTTGCTGATGCTCAAGAAAAACAACCAAAGAGATGAGTGGTAGCATAAAAAACAAAAACAAATTTCCTATGCCATAAGCTTTGCTAAGTAGCTTCCAAGAAAGCATCCTTTAGCCTGTTAAGGTGCTACAAAAGTTGTTCTTTGTAACATTTTGAATAAATCACTCCTAATTGTTTAGTGCCAGGTACAAATCCTAGGGTCACAAACAAGTATATAAATACATTGTTTAATGTGGTTGCAGATGATAAGGCTATCAGTGTTTAAATTTCTGTTCAGCTATGAAGATCACCTTGACCTGATCAGCTTCCCCTACAGAGCAAGAGCCTAGTGAGCATTAAATGGGGCAGTTGCCTGAAGGACAGCGCACAAATGAAATACAAAAATAATAGCATTTACAAAAACAAGTGAGTTCTAGCCTGCTCAGACACCCAAAATCCACAGCTTGCTTTCACTGGCCGGAGTTTAGAACTGGATGCCATGAGTACATCAAGGCCAGCCTTCCAGGGGAAGATGGGGCAAGAGGCAAAAGCAAGCAACTGTTCCTTACCTTTGGTACAATAGATTTTCATGGTCTATGACTTTTTCATGGTCCACATACCCATTCTGGCCACACAGAAACTCTCAGGGAGTGCACAGAGCAGGGCTGGTGAGAGGTATGGTTGAAGGTATCATGGAATCATAAAATTGTAGAGTTGGAAATGACCCCAAGTATCATCTAGCCCAGGGGTCTGCAACCTTTAAGACAAAAAGAGCCACTTGGACTGAAGAAAAAAAAACTGGGAGCCGCAAAACCATTGCGACATTTAAAACAGTGGGGAGTGTCGGGGCACACAATGTGCCTCCTCCCCTCGCTAGTATCCGCCCCGGAGCCGCGGCAAAGGTGTAAAAGAGCCACATGCGGCTCCGGAGCCGCGGGTTGCTGACCCCTGATCTAGCCCAACCCCCTGCGATGCAGGAATATGCAGCTGTCCCATACAGCAATTGAACCTGTAACCTGGACATTATCAGCACCACGCTCTAACCAACTGAGCTATCCATCTTATTCCACATGATGGTGAGACTTTTCACATGAACACTGAATCTTTAGTATTCTGATAGGGAGTGGACACTTTCAGTTCTAGGAGCACTGCCATTTTGTTCTATGTATCTGTGCTCGCGATGCTATACATGTGCCAAGCCCTTGTAGCTGCTCCCCCGGAGTGAAGTGCTTGCAGGTATGCAGGAGTACATCATGGCTTTGGGAGTTGGTTGAACTTCCTTTTTATCATCTCTGTGTAAGCAATTAGAATATCAACAGCCGTCTAATGTATCAAGAAGTGGTCAGTAGACAACAAATCCTCGATATCAAATGAGAACAAGTGTATCTTTGCTTCGAGCCTCACAGCTGACCTGATGTTAAGACTTCTAGGTTGGTATCTGGCATTTAGAAGGTCAGGGTGAAAAGAGAATGTGGCACCTTGGTGTAAATTGCATAATTAATTAGAATGAATGACTGCAGTCCACAAAAAGGCTGTGTTCCTTTGTAAATGGTTTGAAACAACACACAAGGCAAATATAATAAGGCAGGCAAATACAGGGTGGCTGCAAGAACAAAATCATTTTTTAAATAATTTACAAATAGCTTCCAGCCATATCTCCCATTAAAATCTGAATGCCATTGTATTCCATATTTCTTCGGTCTTTTTTCATCATCTTAGTTATGCTCCACCAGTTTTAATAAATAAGTAATACAAGGAAGGGGGAGGGAATCACTTATCTCAAGTGCTTTGCCACAACCCTGTAGGGTTCTTTGATTCTTTCTAACTCTAAATAGAAAAGTCAGAAACAATCGTCTCGCCAAGGAAGAATGACTTTGTGGGCTGAATGCTTTTATATATAATGAAAGAGGGCCACAGAGGCAAAACTGGATCCAAACGAAGCAAAGCCCCATGAAAGTCACAGATTCAAGATTTATAAAGCACTTACTGAGCCTTTATCCTGTCAAATAGGAAGCATGTATAATGGTAATCTGCAAAGGCCAATCTGTATGATCAGGACAAGACTTAGCAATATTTCATTTTCAACAGATCTATTGGAGGAAAGGCATGAAAAGAATCCTTACTCTCATCTACATAGCCATATATCAAAGACTGCCTCTCTCTGTATGAACTGCCCCAGACTCTGCAATCATCATCTGATACCCTTCTTCATGTGCCTCCTCCGCGAGAGGTGCAGAGGATGGCAACACGAAAACAGGCCTTTTCTGTGGTGGCTCCTTGTTTTCTGAATTCTCTCCCCAGGGAAGCTCACCTGGCACCTTCATTCTATATCTTTAGGTGCCAGGAGAAAAACATTCCTCTTCAACCAGGCCTTTGGCTGGTTTGACATTATTATTCCCGGCCACTCTGGGCAGCTTCCAACACATATAAAAAGATAAATAAATCATCAAGCATTACAGGGCCTTTAGATGTCTTCTAAAAGTTGTACAGTTGTACCTTGGTTGATGAACGCCTTGCAACTTGAAAGTTTTGGCTCCCAAATGCTGCAAACCCGGAAGTGACTGTTCTGGTTTGCAAACGTTATTTGGAACCTGAACATCCAACGAGGCTTACACAGCTTCTGATTGGCTGCAGGAGCTTCCTGCAGCCAATCGGAAGCCGTGCCTTGGCTTTCAAATGTTTTGGAAGTCGAACGGACTTCCGGAATGGATTCCGTTCGACTTCTGAGGTACGACTGTATAGTGATTTAACTCCTTGACATCTGATGGGAAGGTATTCAACAGGGAGGGCACCACAGCCAAGAAGACCTGTTCTAGTGTTGCCCTTTTAAATGTGTTGCGGGAGGAAGGATTTGGGGTTTCTATTTGTTCTGATTTTCATTATGTATTTTGTGGTGTTTATAGTGTAATTTTATGTTGCGAACTGCCCTGAGTTCTACGGATGAAGAGCAATGTATTTAATTAATTATCATCACCACCATCTAGCCAGTACAGGAGTTTGGCATTGCATTTCTAGCAGGGGATGAAACTATTATATGCCTCCACCATAAACACGTGTGTGTGTGTGTGTGTGTGTGCGCGCACACACACACACACACACATACACACATCAAAAACAAGCCACTTATTACTAGTTCATAGTCCTCCAGTCATGCATGGTGGTCTAGCTGGGCCTTGATCAACCTTTCTCTTGTGCTTCCTGCCTGGGCTTTGGAAACAGAGGGATTCAGCTTGGTGTGTCATAAATTGTGAAGCCCTGCAGTAAAATTATCTGGAGGTAAAACTGGAATAACAAGAATGATTTTAACTTTGAGCCCCTTCAGCTGATTACAGACAAGATGGTACCTTATAACCCAAAGAGTACTCATTAACGGCTTCCGGTTTGGCTTGCCATGATGGTGGCTACCCAAAACATTGGAGCTGTTTCACACGGAATATTTTGAGGATGAGAGTAATCATCCTCCCAACCCCCCCCCAGTGGGGCCAGGGGGGGCAGCTTCCCCCACAGATCGCCCAAGACCTGCCCCCAATCTGGAAGGAATGAGGGGGCAGGGGGTGCTGGGTGGAAAGCACAGTGTGTCTCTTGGCAACTCTCCAAAGTCGCTGCCATCAGCAAACAAACACCTGTTTTTTAAGACGAAAAAACAGCAAAAATGTGAGATGATCATCACACCCCGATCTCAGCGCATGGGAAGCCAACCAAAGATTTATAATTTGGCATAATATTTGGATTGTTTATTTTATAATTTGGAATGTTTTTAATGTGGCTTTGATTGGATTGTTAAAATGGAAAACTTAATAAGTATTACTTTAAAAAAACAAAAAACAAAGAATACTCATTAATGCTTCCTCATCATCCTGGAAAAAGGGGACAAGTGGGGTGCCACAGGGTTCTGTCCTGGGCCCATTGTTGTTCAATGTCTTTCTAAACGACTTGGAGGAAGGAATTGAGGAGATGCTCATCAACTCTGCAAATGACACCAAACTGGGAGGGGTGGCCAATGTTGCAGAAGACAGAATTGGGATTTGATAGTGGACGCAGGGCATGCAGCCAATTAAGGATACTTTGAGAGTGATTATCCTTGCAAGCCACCCCCCCAGGGGCGGGTGGGTGAGCTTTCACTCATAGATCCTACGGAATGCAGGGGATAGGGGACGCTGAGTGCATAGCGCTGCATGCATTGGAAACTCTCCAGCGCAGCCACCATGAGTGGAAGTTCTTCTGTTTTTTAAGATGTATCAGAATTTGGACTTAAGAAACAAGCATGTTCTGAACGAAGGAGACAAGATTACCTGCTAAATGAGCCAGCCGCTGAGTGCCAAGGTCTCAATCTGGAGAAGATTTTTGTCGTTATTGGATTGGTATGTTGGTGGAGAGGAGCCTTTGTTCTCTCATTATATATTCACTATGCCATTTTATGATTTGGCAACTCTTCACCAAAGAAAAATTAGCTACTAATGGAATGTAATTAATAGGTAAAGGTAAAGGGACCCCTGACCATTAGGTCCAGTCGTAGCCGACTCTGGGGTTGCGGTGCTCATCTCACTTTACTGGCCGAGGTCATGTGGCCAGCAGGACCAAGCCACTTCTGGCGAACCAAAGCAGTGCACAGAAACGCCGTTTACCATCCCGCCGGAGCGGTACCTATTTATCTACTTGCACTTTGACGTGCTTTCGAACTGCTAGGTGGGCAGGAGCAGGGACCGAGCAACGGGAGCTCACCCCGTCATGGGGATTCGAACCACGACCTTCTGATCAACAAGTCCTAGGCTCCGTGGTTTAACCCACAGCGCCACCCTTATAATGGATTGCAAATATTAATGGAATGCAAGAGGGAATCAACAAAAACTTTATACAGTGGTACCTCGGGTTAAGTACTTAATTCGTTTCGGAGGTCCGTACTTAACCTGAAACTATTCTTAACCTGAAGCACCACTTTAGCTAATGGGGCCTCCTGCTGCTGCCGCGCCGCCGGAGCATGATTTCTGTTCTCATCCTGAAGCAAAGTTCTTAACCTGAAGCACTATTTCTGGGTTAGTGGAGTCTGTAACCTGAAGCGTATGTAACCTGAAGTGTATGTAACCCGAGATACCACTGTAATGCTTATGGATTAATTGAAAGAATGGAGCTGTGTGGAAACATTGGGATGTTTTGTGGCAATACCCTCTAAGGAGGACTCTAACTTTGATTTTTTATGGTGTTTATTATGGTGTTTCTTTTGGATGGGAAAGAAATCAAAGAAAATGCTGGAAGTCTACCTCGAGTAATGGCCAGACGCCAGACCTCTTTCGGTTTTGAGAAAAGCAAAAAGGCGAGAGGCCATTATGCAGCAAAATTAAGTCCCTGGAGTGGAGGGGAATGCTGAAAATGATTGATTGATTGAAGAAAGGAAGGACAAACGTTTTTAAAAAAGCATTCCACACAGGAAGTTACAAGATTTAAACTCCTCTTGCAAATTAAAGGATATGGAATGGTTAAATACGAACTAAAGTGATCACATCAGTAGCTGTTAAAATAAAGGATCAAATAAGAGGACTAAATAAGAGGACTAGAGCAGGAACAAGGAATAACAGCATCTCTCAAAAATCAGAACATGGGAAAATCCAAAATATTTAATTTGGAATCGAATAATTGGCTCTTTTTATTGTATTATGATTTGGTATTGTATTAATGTGGTTTATATTGGATTGCTATTAATGAAAAATTAATAAAAAATATTATTTAAAAAAAGAAAATGAGCCACAGACGCAGCCTGTCCTCTTCTTCCATTGCTCACACACAGATTCCTTCGGTTCCTGTTTAGCACCAACCAAAGGCTGCCACGGTTCACACCAGCCTCTGAACTAGAATCAGGAGCCTCGTGGCATATGAGTAATCCTTAAGAGACTTCCAGTTTCCTGCCGATGGAACAGGGAGCGCGGGTCTGATCTCCGGACACACCTGAGCCCCACAGAGGTTAGAGGGGAGCACACCAAGGCAAGGCGCTCCCACCCAAAAGCTCCTCTAGGGTGAGCAGAGTCTTGAGAGGTCTGGCAAAGCGCCAATCTTCCACCACCCC